AGCATGCCGTGGAGGTTCATGCTTGTATGCACATCGCAGTGTCATCCCTCATATAGCGTTAGAACGTGAGAATGGTACTAACCAGCTACCTGAAATTGACAAAGCAATATCCAACTCCCTGCCATACACATCTTCCCGGCGCAGTATGCGGACTGCTGGACTTTGGGTATCCTAGAATGTGGTAGCAAGCCGCGTTACCATCACACGACGTACTCGGCACCTACCACGAATCAAAGAAATAAGTCTACAGTAATGCGCCACAGAACGAATCCCCAAGGAGATCAATTAAGACTTAGTCTATGCCATAATCTAAGCTAATAGTTCGAGCTGCACGTTCCCGGTAAAATCCACGCAAACATGCTCACATGCAGGCTAGAGCGCTTGACGCCGCCAATCAGAACATCATTGGCGGCTAACGAGCACTTTTCGACCATGGCTGTAAAGCCTCTCACAACCTGCTCATTAGCGAACCACATCATTAGAACGCTCGAGTAATGCGGCTTCTAGGCCTGCATTGCAGACGGGTCACAACTGTCGCAGGTCGGGACTGAAAAGGAACTAGGTTGCGGGTATAAGCTGGTCTGACTTTTGCCTCGAATATCTCTGGCTCACCGAGCATCTTGCGCCCACGTCGACAACACCATCATGGAGTTGCTTTGGCTCTTCCTCATTTCGGCGATTCCCGTCGCTCGCTCGCATTTGACTTCCAACAACTTTCCCGGGTACGGGTTTTCCTGGTACAGCCCTAATTGCGGTTTCTCTTGCTACAATGCTGTGTCGTCTGCCAGCCTCGAATGTCCTGCGACCGACTCTTCTGATGGCCACGACATGGGCATGGACATGGACATGGCTGCCGGAGCGCCGACACCAAGTTGCCAAGCACAGAGTCTACCCTTCTTGGAGACCATAGCTTACTGTATGAGCACAAGATGTGGCGCAGACACTCCAGTCTGGAAAAGAGAAGAATTCTGGGCGACGAAACTCATCACCGACATTGTGCCGAAGTGGACCTACTCAGAGTCGCTCGCAGAGCTCGGGAACTCGACGCCTACTATGGTGTACAATGCAAGCTCGACCGAGGTCATGACCATGCCCATGGTGATCAGCGACGCCAGCTATGATATCCAGTTCAACTTCAACCGGCTTTTCGACCACATTGAAGCGCTGCAAGCTCGATATGTGTGAGTAGAGCCGCCGTCAGTCAACGAGTTTCTCTAAAATATAATTAGTATTGTCATTGTCGTCCTGGGCTTCAGCATTCCAATCCTGTGCACACTCATTCGCAAGCTGCCGTTCGCGACTGGCTTACTCGACAAGCTCAGACCCTATCTTGTGTATCCGTCTACAATCGGCTCGTACCAAGTACGTCCACTGCCTTGGCTCATCGGTAACGCACCGACTGTCGGGCAAGCCGCGTACATATTCTTCTTCTTTGCTCTCAACGTCATTTTGAGCTCGGTGAACTATGGTAGTTCGCAGCCGCATCCATGGGGCTTCTCGAAGAAATCGGAGATGCTCTCTTACATTGGCTATCGCACTGGACACATTGGATATGGTCTCCTGCCCCTTGTCATTCTCTTCTCGAGCCGCAACAACTTCTTGCTCTGGATCACCAATTGGTCTTACGGCACGTACCTCTTGCTGCACCGCTGGATCGCTCGCATCTTCGCCGTCCAAGCCATCGTGCACAGTATCGCACTGTTACTGTGTTACCAAGGATCAGGCAGCTATCCAGTCGAGTCCGTCAAGCCGTATTGGTTGTGGGGTATCGTCGCCACTGTATTGACATGCGCTATGCTGGTTTTGAGCGTTCTCTATTTCCGCCGCCTCGCCTACGAGGTCTTCCTTATCCTTCATATAATACTTGCTGTCTTCGTCATCGTGGGTTGCTGGTACCATGTCATCCTAAAGTGGGGCTACAACTTCTACGACAACTGGCTCTACGCTGCCATCGCAGTATGGTTCTTTGATCGTCTTGTCCGCGTGCTACGCGTGCTGAAGAATGGCATGCAGTACGCCGATGTCACCGAAGTGGGAGACAATTACGTCCGAGTTGATCTTCCTGGTGTGCGATGGGCGGCGAAGCCAGGCTATGTTGGCTACGTTGGATTTCCAACGCTGCACCCGCTGCGACCGTGGGAGAACCACCCTTTCTCTATCAACTCATCTGTCTTGTTCCGAAGCTACAGGCATGCCCCAGCACTGGCGTCTTCGAGTGATTCCACATCGGACGGCAGTCACGCCGAAGGAAAATCTCCTGATGATAAAGCGCAGGTGACTCGTGTTACGCGCAACGTCAGAGATCCAGCAAGCACGACGGGGGTGTCTTTTATCATCAAGAAGAGGACTGGCATAACGAAGATGTTGAACAAGAACGCTCGGCTGCTTACAATCCTAGACGGACCGTATCCACATTCAGCCAGCACCGAGGCTCTGGAGGCTGATCATTTGTTGTTGCTTGGAGGTGGTATCGGTATCACTGGTCTGCTGGGCTGGCTTTCTATTCATCCAAACGTCAAGTTGGCGTGGAGCGTCAAAGCGTCAGATCAAGCTCTAGTTGATGAGATGGGCACGGCCATCGCAAACGTCGCCGACAAGCAGGTTTTCGTCGGACAGCGCTTCGCTATTAGGAACCTGCTCCAAAAGGAGATTGATTTTGGCTACAAGAAGGTTGGTGTTGTCGTATGCGGTCCTGCGGATATGTGCGATGAGGTGCGAGCTTTGGTAGCAGGTCTGGGGAGAGGCAGCAAGACTGTGTTTGATTTGCATGTGGATGCTTTTTCCTGGTAGACTAGTTCAGCCGCGCCATGCTTGCTGGGTTGACTTGAGACTTGCCTGTTATGTAGGAATAAGGAATACATCTTCGCAACGGGCATATGACTGACTACCTAGGTAGGCATGTACATCACCTGGGCAGCGAACCGGCCATCTGGTACCCCATCAACATTGCGTCTCGCTGCATGTACAGTACCCTCTACCGTATATTCGACGCGGAGCTGATGTTCAATACATGTACTAAATTCCTGCATGTATCCGCGTTGCGCGCGACTTTGCACTCCAGGGCTGGCTTCGATGACGTCATTCGTTGGCTCTGCCTACATCTGGTTGCGATGTGAGCCTAGTTATGCCCGTTGTAACCTGACATGAAATCGAGCAGCTTTGCCATACTACCTCCAGAAGGTTGTTTGTATTACTAGAATTGCTCTCTTTGTTAGGTTCTTATACTCGAACACAGTCTTGACTGTGTTCTCAAGACGTCCAAACGCAGCGTCTAGTGACAGTTGCGAAGGTATCGTAACCTAGGTACTTTTGTACGACCTGTTAAGCATGCTAGTATTAGGTATCTTGTCGGGTAAGTCTTTCGACTAATTGTTCGTTCCGGCGTTGCGTCAGAAGTCATCAGCGACTAGATTATGCGCTCGACAATCCCCAGTGCCACAGGCATCACTGGAACACATTTGCACCGCTCCGATTTCTTCTACGTCTGTTTCGCCCCAGCAACAATCCTGAAGATGCCCATGTCACTTGCTACTGGGCTGCCGACCGGACCGTCTATCCTTATCACGAACGGTACTCTTATGACCTCATGCTCTCCTAGGCTGGAAAGAATGCGCGGGCAGCTACAGATAATCGTCTCGTAATTCTTTGATCAAAATCGGATACACCGGGCAGTCGTACTGAACATTTGCGCAAGGATGGAAGGCGACATGTGCTGCGTTGGCTTCGCAAGCTTTTCGATCGTGAGAATGTCTATTCAATCACTGTCGAAGGTCTCGACTTCCCACCTGCGAATACTGGTGTGTGTGATGTAAGGCTCGTGAAGGTTGTTTCGACGGCGTCCGTACAAGTCCTGTAGTCTCTAGTCTCTGCCAGAGGTCATGAGTCGAGTACTACACGTTTGCAAGTAGGCTCCTAGGAAAGACGTCTTGATGATATTCTCGTCGCGGTTTATCTCACTATCTCCGGTATCATCAGATGGTGAAAGGCCGCACTGACTCTCTATTGCGTGCTCACTCACTCGACCCTTCACTGAGCCCGCTCCGCCACCGCCTACACGCGCCCCTTCACTCACCTGCCCGCCAACAACCTTAGAGATTCCCATGTCTATCCTGGTAGTATATATCGCTGGTCGCGGTCTTATTGTACTATATATTATATGGAGTTTAGAAATCTTCCATCAAAACATAAGGCATTGGGTCATTGGGACCAAGCGCACGTCTTACATCACGGTCTCACAGGTCCGTATGTAATGGCCTGAGTTCGAGTCTGGGTGTTGGATCGGTTAGCTGACAGTTGATCTTCTGCGGATTCGAATTCCAGTGGTGGCCTTTGTTATGATCTGGATGGCCGTCCCTTTTTTGCTCTTTTTTGCGCCTTTTCGCGCGATAGTGTTCTTTTTGCCCCTCTCTTTCTTTTTCGCTACGTTCGACTTGATTTCCATATACCACGGTATTAGGTGGGTGTAAGTGCGAGTAGTATTCCTCCACTTCCTGTCAATTTAGCACTTCCGCCATGAAGGTACGCGAGAAAGACTGTCCTGAGGTTGATAAGAGTACATTCCTTGTCGCTAACAGGTCTTCCAGGACATCGTCAAGATAACGGAAGGGATTAATAGAGTTAGACGAGAGCATTTTGACGCTTACACACATAATCAATTCCAAATTAACCTAGAGCACAGCGGTGCCTGTCGTACACGAGTACCCCTTAAAGACATGTCTGATGTTTAATAATACGTCGAGGTTGATCGGCGGACTAGATGAAGATACCAAGAAAAGATGAAAATAAGCTGAGGATGACCAGACTCCATGATGTTTTGTCGATGTGAGGCTTGAATTTGCGGAGCGGTGCGGAAGAACAATGTACCGAGCCTCGGCTCACCCCCAGCTTCCAACATCCGGGGCAAGCTCCGATGGCGAACATCTACCCGTGTGTCGCGATGGCTCTCCATATTTCTCCCTACGACGCCTCCACCCTTCGTCCAACCTATACCGATTTGCAAAATGGACAACAGCTCACTCTTCGACGTTAAGGTACGCACATAATCCACCCGCACGTCCGATCTTCCAACTGACTCTCATCAAGGGTAAAATCGTCCTCGTCACAGGCGGCGCGAAAGGTATCGGTCGCATGATCAGCGAGGGCTTCGTCCAGAACGGCGCTACAGTGTACATATCATCCCGCGACGCCAAAGCCTGCGAGGAAGCGTGCAAGGAATTGAATGCCCTCGGCAAAGGCAAGGCCGACTTCATCGCAGCCGATCTATACACGGAAGATGCAGCAAAGAACATAGCCGACGAGCTGAAAAAGAGAGCAGGCAGTAGGTCCTCCCGTGGGCTGTCATCTGCACCATGGTAGCGAGACAATGAGACTTCGCTAACAATGTACAGAGCTCGATGTCATCGTCAACAATAGTGGAAGCAACTGGGGCGAGTCGTACGATAACTATCCCGCCGCAGCATGGGACCGTGTCCTCAACCTCAACCTAAAGCGCGTCTTCCAGCTCACGCAAGCCGTCACACCCCTCCTCGAAGCCGCTTCTACCCCGAGCTCACCAGCACGCATCATCAACATCGGCAGCGTCGACGGCCTGCGCGTCCCCGCGCTCGAGACTTTCGCCTATTCCGCTTCTAAAGCCGGTCTTCACCACATGAGCAGAGTGCTAGCGAGCCACCTGGGCAAGCGCGGAATTACAAGCAACACGATCGCGTGCGGTCCCTTCCAGAGCAAGATGATGAAGGCTACATTGGAGAAGTTCAAGGATGTCATTGAGAGCGGGATACCATTGGGACGCATCGGCAGCCCGGAGGATGTTGCGGGCACTTGCATTTGGCTATCGAGCCGCGCGGGGTCCTATGTTAACGGCGCGACTATCGCATTGGACGGTGGTAGCGTCGTTGGCGCCAAGTTGTAAATATAACTTTTGCATATCACATCACATCAACAAGAGTTACATCCATCAGACATGACGAAGGCTGAATATCCTCAGAACGTAACTGCTCTCTATAGACGTCTAGCAGAAGTACATGTATACCTCAAACCTCCTCGCGACCTACTCAGCTGTCGGCCCCATCACCGTGGTGTTCATCAACACAGTCAGTTCAGCGAGGGCCCGGCTCTGATCCGGCTTCTCCACATCCTCCTGAAGAATGGCCTTAACCTGCTCACGAGTCGCCCAGAAGCTCGTCTCATCAACCACGCGATGCTCCTTCTCGTTCACCTCACTTGGATGCTTGAGGTCCTTGTCGATGGGAAGGAGCAAGGCCGCCAAGAGCTTCTCATACCGATCAACCTTGGACATGCCTGGATGCATCAAGTCCTTATCATCAAAGGGGTCGAAATCGTCAGCCGGCTGATAGTCCTTGGAAAAAAAGCCGAAGTGTTGGGCCGCCGCAAGATTGCCCGCAAGTTCTTTAGTCCGCTTCAGGTCCAAGTTCGCCTGGGCGAGCTCTTCCTTGTCGTCAACCTTCTGCTGCCGCTTCTCGGACCTCTCGTTCAGACCAATCAGCCACTGCAACGTCATCGCCGCACCGAATCTCTCAAAGATATCTTCGTTCAGATGGCCTTGGCGCACGGCCCGCATGAAGTCGTCTGGTTTCGGCATGTTTGGGAGGTATGCGGCCTGGGCCTTGAGAATCTTGACAAGCTTGTTTACCGTCTTGCTTCGCCTCGGACTGAAGAAATGGAAGTCAAAGGGCGAGTTCTGCCATAGGGCGACGAAGGCTTCGCGTTGGGTGAAGTTGTTCTGCAAAGGGTCGTACTTGAAGACCAGTGATTCAATCCAGGCCTATGTTTTATTAGCTGTGTGCATAGGGCATAAGGAAGCCAGGAGGGTTTCAGTATATTTTAAACCTCTGTGGGAAGTTTGAAAAGACACTGAAGATGGACAGGTAGTGCTATCGGGAAGATGACTTACGCGCAGAAAGACCTTGACAAACTCCTCGCACCCCTCTTTGCAGTACTTCGGATCGAATCCTGACGCCCAAGCGAATGCCATCAGGAGGATGTTGAACCGGATCTGGTCGTAGAACCGCGAGAACGAATGGCCCTTGTCTAGACCGTAGAAGAAGATTGCCTGATTGACGATCAGAGGCAAGCTCTTGTCGGCGAGGAAGTTCGCCTTGGCGATGTCGTTGTACAGGAGGAAGAAGGTGGTGAGTTGGAGGAACGGAGGAGCTTGAGGAACGACTGCCTCGTCGGGATGGAAGTAGATGCTGTAGAGAGAGGGCAGGAGAACGATGCTTGTGTTGACCTTGTACGTTTTGATGGCAAGCTTTTGCTCAGCATCGCGATGCAGAGCCTTGACTTCCACAACGTCCGGATGCTCAGGCTCAGCGTTGTCGTCCATGGCGACGTCGCCGTCGCGCTCGCGGTTGACGTCAACGTTGTGCTCCGCGACGTTCTCGCATTCGGTAAAGAAGACGATGTCCCCAGACTCGACGCCGTTGTCTACGTTGTCTGCGCTAACGCCGGTGTCGGGAAGATCACCCATGCTGACGTCGTTGTCGTTCGGGCTGTCCATGATGTCGGTGGTGTCGTATATACGGGCGTTAATATATGAACCAGTGGGATGGAGAAAGCAACAAGAGAGAGGGTATATTGCGAAAAGTCGTCAAAACAACAGAAAGGTCCGTGAGCGCACAATCCGTAGGCGACGGAAAAACTAGATTTGCGGTCAGCCGATAAGTTCCTCCGCTGATTCTGTTGTAGTGAAAGGAGAGGGTGGCGAGTTGCGTACCTGCGACCCCTGTCTGCTCTGCAAACAGGCGTCGGCGACATCGCTAGCGATGTCGATTCAGCGCTTGTTTCGAGGGGAGACTGGAAGATGGTGGAGGATATATATGTAGGTGTCAATGTGGAAGTGCAGGTCGCTGGTCTATATACATGTCGCGAGACACATTGAACAAGCAGTGAGTGTTTGCGACACCAACGGACTGTGTTCGTTTAAAACAGAAGCTCACAACAAGTGACACCCCCGAGGTCTGTCGACCTGATCAGCTACGTCTTTTGTTTGTTGCTCAAACAAATGTCGGTGACATGATGACATGCGTTAAGGAAGAGCGCGTTACGGAAACTAGAGATGGACGTACCTAGGTAAGATGCACCAGCAGATAACAGTAACGAAGTTCAGATGATTGACTAAGACCGTGTCGTGTACGTCCCAGAAGAAGAGATACAGCACCCGAGACATGATAAAGTCCGCGCAGGGAAACAGTTAGGAGGATAGACACATCGTAGATATACCAACGTCGAACATCCAGACATCCGAGCTTGGACACCCATACTACTTCTCGACCACTTTCCATTCCCTGTATGATTTGTTCTGGGCTCGTCTTCATTCTGCTCACCCTACTCCTCATTCTGTTCATCCACCTCCGAGTCGGACCAATTACGCTCGTCGTCAGTATCAAGAAGTGATACACGCAGGCTGTTCAGTTTCCTCCTCGCATCTCGCAACTCCGCCTCCAAGTCATCCACGTCCCGCTTCTCGAATATCAACCGCTCTCTGTAGGCCTTCGCATTCTTCTTTTCAGCAGCCAAGTCTTCCTTCAAAGCATCTTGACATTCTACCAGCGAAGAGATTTTGTTATCCCTTTCCTTGGCTTCCCATCTGAGTCTCGCGTTCTCCTTAGTCAACTTGCGTATGCGGTATTGATCCCGCGTAAGGGGGGGGGGGTTTGGCGACGGTTGTCTGACGTTCGCCGGGTGTTGGCATTTCTTCTTCTTGGGGCGCTCTGGGTTGTAGGTTAGTGGTACTGCGGTAAAGCGCTGGGACGAGTGTGCAATTTTACTTGGTTTGTACCCGATCGTCAGAGTTGTAGCTTTGGGAGGGGTTTGACGAGGACCCAAGGTGTGGTATCATAGAGGAATTCATCGCCGAGAAATCCTCGCTACGCATTCTAGCGGCTTCAATATCGAGGGAATAAATCTCAAGGAAATTCATTTTTCATATAAGGCAGTTTGGAATGGGGATGTGGTTTTGCAAAGTCGTGGGAGTTAAATCAAAGCCAGTTTTCAAATCCACACTCGGTACCAAAGATAAGGTAATTATCGTACCAACAAAGCGGTAGTAGCAGTAATAGTAATAACCATGTTCTCATTGACTCTACATATCTCATTCCAATCATAACCTCATCATTCGTAAGTATACCAACTCTTTTTTAGCTCCCTCATCGCATCCTCAGCTTCCTTCCACTTCCTAGTCCCCTTTTCCGCGTCGCCCATCCACGTCATAATGCGTACTCTGTTTTTCATATACTTGGACTCTGCCCTCTTTCTCTCTTTCGCTGTTTCCTTCAGGTAAGAAAAGTCGTCGTACCTGATAGCTTCCTTCCAGACGTCGCGCATCCTTGGACTCCACAGACAGCAGCTGGACCCAACATCAGGATCTTCACCAGGGACTAGCTGGATCGACTTGTTGAACATGTGCGGTATGGACGACGACGTGGATCTGGACTGTGTGGCGGGCCAGATGAGCTCGTCGTAGCATTGCTCACAGACTGTGAACTCTGGTAGCGAAGGGATGAAGTGCCATGGTTTGCGGAACAAGATCTTGTACCTTTGGCACTCGCCTTTGTAGGAATTCTCGCGGAGCAATAAGACGAAGCGGCTCAGATCAGGGAGTTGACCGGACAACTCAGCCTCGGCGTCTAGCTCGACGAGCAGATCCAAATACTTTGGGAAGCGGGTTGAGCTCGTACGTAAGGTGCATACGTGCCTGTCGTCCTTCGGCATCTTAGCGAAGCAACCACGAAGAGAAGGCAGCAAGGCCTCAAGCATCCTCCTATCGCTCGAGCATATAGCGAAGTTGGCTACGTGGGAACCGTCGCGTGGGTTTGTGATGCCGTACCAGCTGATGCGGTCTTCTGCACCAGCCTCACGGTCTCCAGGACACGGTTTGGCTACTGTGTCCATGACACCTGCAATTGCGGAGATCAGATCGAGCGATTTGCGACCTCGCTGAAGCGTCAACAGCCATGCAAGACGTGCCCATGGGCTGCTGAAATCACAGCTCCGCTCCAACGAATAGTCGTTCAGCCATATCTGTTTGAAGTCCACGTCGAAGGGAGTACCGGCGAAGACACCGTTGTAACAACTAGGGCAGATGTTGAAGTTCTTGTTGTCTTGGAGCGCGTACCAATCATCGTAAGGCCCCGATTTGTAAGGTCTTGGGCAGTCTGGAAGTTTTCTGTCCATTGAAGCAGTCCTTCGAGATGATCTATCACGGCGGGCGTCGTGAGAGCGGAAACTACCCGACCTGGACCTCCTTGGGCGTGCCGGCTCCTCCAACGTCTCAGTGTCTTGCCTCCTAGCCCGGGAAGGTAGATCTCGCGTGTACGGCGAGCTAGGAATTGACGGCGACGTCGCTCTCGGGATGTCCACGTAGCTTTGTCTCGGCGAACCGACGGTCGAATGATCAAACTGATAATGCTCCTCGGGTGGCATGAAGACGTCGATGAGTTGGTCGTCGATGGGATATGGTAAAGAGTCGCCGGTCGATTGCCTTGCAGGAGACGGACTGTGCACATCGATGCGAGGTCTCGGAAGTGGCATGGTGTCATGTCTGCCATATCGAGAGGGTTGTCTTGACCTGTCGTCGGAAGGTGCTGGAGGATAGGTGGAGTGCCAATCTGACTCGGATACGGGTACGCGACCGCGGCCGGGCGAGGAAGGTTGAAACGAAGAAGCGAGCGGAGAGGTTGGCCGAGGGCCACCGCCGGACGATGGTCGAGAGCCTGGAGGGGAGTCCCGCAGTCGGGTAGACAGCTGAGGCGAGGGTGCTCGATACGATGGCGAGCTTGGTCTGGACAGCGGGCGTGAGCTGTTAGCATAGACAGTATCTACGGGCACAGGCCTCGATCGCCGCGTGCTGTGCACCGAAGACGAAGACGACCGCGGCGACTCAGCCTTGGGGTACTCCTTGTACGAGCCTGACGAATCACCCTTACGTATCGTCGGCAGGAAACGCTGCCCGGAGTCGTGTCGGCGCGGTTCGGGCCTCTCCTGTGTATTGCGCAGGTTTGTCCTCAGATCCTCCCTTTGTAAATCGCTCTTCACGAAGCTGTACCGCGCGGGCTTTCGTTCGGTTCGCAGGTGGGTCGTGCTGTGCGCTTCGGAGTCGGAGTCGGAGTCGAATACGTATTCCTTCTTGGATGATGGCGACGTGTAGGAGTTGTGTCGGCTATCAGTTGGCATCGGTCTTGACGGCCTGCTTGCATCTGACCTGGGATGGCTGCTGTTCGAAGGCGTAATGGGTTCTGGCGAGCGCATGTAGTCTGCAGGCGAGGGCGCGGTAGACTCCTTCTGGGGCTTCGAGTAGCCATAGGGCGCCCTCGCGCGCTCAGTAAAGACGGGAGGGTCTGGGACGTCGGTGTTGATGTGCGACATGCCCCCACGGTCAGCAAAGCTGCGCCGGCGCCGGTCCCGAAGCGTGCTGCCATCGTCATCAGTGCTGGATTCGGAAACAAGCACATAGCGGCGGTCGTGTTGTGCGACGCTCGGCTGCTCAATCTCGTCGAGCAGGGAGTCTTGGTCGACGGTGCCCCGCGTGTTGCTCGGCGGCTCACCCTCGGCCTGCCCTGGCGACCCCACGGAGGACGGCGCCTCTTTTGCTAGCGCCTCGCCCTCGTCTTCGACGCTGGGTGACGGCGGCCATGTCTGCTCGTGCGTGTGCGACCTGTACGAATGCGGCGCGGGTCGTCGAGGTGGCAGGGGTGGAGAAGTGCGGGGCTCATAGGTGTAGGTGTTGTAGGACGGCGTGTAGGACGATGTGTATGGATTGCTCTGGCGCATGTCTGCCAGCTGCTCGCGCGCCTCCGCTAGAGTCTTGTCGCTCCTCGCATAGCCATAGGGGTCCGTCTCTCTTGATGTATAGTGGGAGTCATGGCGCGAGCGGTGGTGGTACCGACTGTCGTATTCGTAAGACATGTATGGGCGTACGTGAGCGATGGTCAGGCGAGCAGTGAGAGACTAGGCAGTGGCTTTGGCGAGCATGCAGCTTGAGCAACTAGCTAGGGCGGCCTCAAGAGTAACAAGACGAAGATGGCGGAGAGGGCAGGTTTACATAGCGCGGCAACAACGGCCATGTTGGATGTACAAAGATGCTAGGTGACGCATGTAGCCGTCTGTGAATTGCGGGTCGCGCCTTCCTCGCGCCTTCGCCCTGCACCTTCCCCACCGCCGGTAAAGCCCTATTTGCTCGCTTCCCGTCCTCTATTCAACGCCCACCGCCTGTTCGCACATCTTCGCCTTGCAGAGATATCTGGGTTATTCCTTGGAAGTATCGTCACGGCACAGTCGTCTTCATCTCATTTGCTCGTGTGAACATGCAAGTGTTTGTACCTGTACTATCGCAGTGTCGTATTAAGCATCATAGTTCCCTCTAGCATCTTCTAAACCCTTGTCTGAGCGAAAAATAGCAGCATTTGCCATGATGCTACTGCATAGTTGCGCTATGACTTCATGGTACCTGGCCGATTCTTTTCTTGTATAGATCCAATAGTTATATGCCGTACTATGGCCAAGGTTTGTGTTGCATGTCGACTGTAGATCTGTAGATTTGGGAAACCGCTACCTGCCCACATGCAAATATAGAACGCGATCCTTCAAGAACATCATATACCTGTCCCCATATAATCGTGATACATACAACTACCTCTCGCCCATATCTACTTCAAAGCCTCTCCTCTTCGCACGACCGGCAGCCTCCGGAACAGCGGTAAACCGCACTTAGCACAGCCACTCGGGCTGCAGCCACCTCACCACGTGCCTCACGAACTTTTCAACCCTTCATCATAATAGAGAATATGATTCCACACATCACGCAGTTGCAGATTAAGTTCTAAGGCGCACAAAACTGACCGATGTCCTCAGCCCTCAACCGGTCACAGTCTGCCTCGCGCCTTCATTCCAAAGTTTCTACTACCTACATGACTGAACCGACCGGTACGCAGAATCACAAGCTCACAACCAAGTGAAGCACTCACCGGATATGCGGCTCTGCTCGTACCATGATTTCTCGTAATCACACAGATAACTAACTCGAGAGTCGTTGTAATCGAGCCAGGCGCGTGATGCATGGAGCTGCAGGCAGAAAGTGGCTGTGCAAGGCGTTCCCGGAAGCCGCCGAAGACGGAGCACTGAACCACCGATATATATATCAGTCGCAGGAGAGACTCGGAATCCTGTAATCCTACAATGCCAAAAGATACAGCTATGTCTGTTAAATCCGATGGATTCCGCCTTTTCTGCTTGAACTGGTGCGAATCAGGGTGGTAAACCCGATAACTCCATCCTGGCACGTTGTGTCCGCGGCATGGATACGCCCCGTCCTACCTAGGTATGGTATCCTGTAGCAACAACTACGTATATAAGCTGTAGAGAGAAGGTAAGACAGCATGCGACCCAAATACCAGAAGAAGCAACAGCAGTCAACCTACAAAACCCATTGACTCAATCCCAAACATGTCCGCCCCCACTCCCACCGTCAACCTCCCCAACCTTACAACCCACCAATCCATAACCGACACCCTCCACCGCCTGACCCTCGGCCTAGACAGCAACAACCGCGCCCTCGTAGAATCCGCCTGTCATAAAGCACCCGAGATGACATTCACCTACGGCCCGCTGGGCGCCCAACAAACAGTCACTGGCTTCGACGCCATAAACCCCTTGTTCGACCGCGTCTTCAGCCTCGTCACCACACATACCGTGAGCAATGTGAGGATAGAAGCGGAGAGCGAAAATGTGACATCCGCGCGCATGACGGCGCATGTCATTTCCTATCATGTGAGAGAGGAAGAGGCGTTCGTGGCGGCGGATACGAGTTATACGGCGAGCTCGTTGTACGACATGCGACTGCTCAAAGACAAGGACGATGGAGGATTGTGGAAGATCACGACATGGAAAGCACGCATGTTGTGGACAACGGGAGATATCAAAGTCTTGCATCCATAAAGACATAGTTTGCATATATCGACTATATAGAAGGAAACTTTTCTTTCGTCTCATTCTTCCAGATATCTTCTTCTTTTCGTTAAATGTTTATATCGTAAGGAAATATCGGTTACATAGTAGATCATATCGCTAATCCCGACGCCGGCGCCGAACCAACATGTCCCATTAATCGCTATTTTCGCACAGACGGACCAAAATGTCGCGCGCACTTGTGTGTCGTAAACACATGTACATGGGTATCAGAAGCAGCTTGCATAGAGCCAAAGGGGGAATTGAGAAGAAATCGCTCGGATGGGAATTCGGGTTAAGAAGATAGGAGTGTGGCTTGATGATTCGTCGCCGCACTTAAAAGTAGTTGCCCTTGGGGATGGCGCAGAAGATGCCGACAGCGACGGCGGAGATGAGAAGAGCGCCGAGGATGGCTTGGATGAAGATGGTATCCTGAATCTGGCGGAGAGCAGGCTCTTGAATCCAGACTTCACGGTCAAACACCTTCCTCACGACATTGCGCTTCTCGTAGCGGGCGACCCATGGCTCGTCTTCCCAAGAGTTGCTCGACGCATGCGAGTCGACGCTCTGGAACGAGTCGGACTTGAAGTCGTAGCTTTGCGGCTCGTCATCGGAAGCGAAGAGCTCCCATGGTCGCAGATGTCGGTGGTGCATGCCGTGGAGTACGACACACATACCCTTCCAGGCTGCAATCAACGTTGAGATGCCAATGAAGAAGCCAATGAGGGAGATGACGCGCCATGCACGACCGGCGCTGCTGAGGGTGAGGATGATCGCGACGATCAAACCAGCAACTATGCCGAAGATACCGAGGCCACGGGCGAAGATCACACGCGGACGGTTGCCATTGCATATGGTCCATCGAACAAAGTTGGGGTGCGCTTGGCAACGGAGCGACCACTCGACGGTGGTGATGATGTCGGTAAATGCCGACGGGTGGGTCGTATTTTGCAGAGCGTGCAGCAGTGCTGTGCGCTCTTTCGACGAAAGGTTCAGCTGTCGCGAACCATTGTCGGCAATGTAGATGGAGATGATGCGGTTGATCTCTTCCCGGTAAGGCTGGACGGATACTGTGGTGGATGAGCGATTGGACCCTAGAGGCGAATGAAGAAAATTAGCAAAGGTAATACTCACGTGGTTTCCACTTTAGTCCTGCGTTATCAAACGCACCAGCAGCACGTTGAGTGTGGTCAACTTTGCCGGTAGTCATGCTATCATCATACGAGTCAAGAGAGTAGTCGCGCCTGGGTTCGACGCTGGTTGGCGTGCGAGGAGGCGTGAAGAAGGGGTTGTTGCTACCCTTCTCCGAATCAGCGACCTTCCCCTCGTTGGCGAAGTCGGTGCCCTTGAGCATGGCTGCAGCGTCGGCATTGTAGCTGACGGCGCCGGGCCTCGCTTCGGGGGTCTTTTCGCCAGTCCACTCGGGAGACAGAACCCTCTCGCTTTCCGGCAGCGCATTGAAGCGCTTGACGTAGTCGCGGTACCAGAGGAAGAATTGCAAGTTCTCGGCCGACAGTTCGATGTACTTGAGGAAGTTCATGAAGTCGCGGACTGTGCAGGGCTGGGAAGTGTCAGTGAAGGTACTTGGAAAGATGATGCTCATGACGGTGACAACGTACAGGGCAAGCGCCGCCAGCGATGATGGTGTCAAAGGACAAGGCCTCGGGAATACCGTGGGACATGCCGCTGCTGCCGGACTTGATGGATGCATTGATCGACTTTCGCTTGTCTTCGGTGTTGGTGGAAGAGGCAGTGCCGGGACGAGAAGCTCGCTCTGGGCGGCGATAAGATAGTGAGTAGACCATATTGGGCAGGATCTGGGGTCGAGTCTAATCGCGGAAGGAACGTGGTGTTGCGGGGAGACGACAGCACGTGGTCGCTTGGTGAAGATGGCAGGAGCAACCGTTTACACGCACCGTGCCGCGCGTGGAGATGGAATGCTATATAGCTACTTGGCCGATGGGGCGAGTGGAGTAGTGAGACTGAGCTAGCAGAAGATCTGGAAGAAAGCTACTTGCGTAGTCGTCCAGTAGTCGAGCGCTGACACCGATTGCCGCAGGGCAGGATGTTAGCGTGGATCTAACTAGTGAGGGCAAGCGAAGCTTGAGATGGAGGTAGAGGAAGTTTGCGCGTGGCCTCTGGCGAGGTAAAGTAGGGAAAGCAAAGTCACGGTCGAGCAGCCGTGTTTATACCCGCCTGCTCGGCATGGCCGTATTTCCACCAAGTCTTCACAGAAAGCGGTCCCCATTCGTGGCAGGCACATGGCTCTCCACCTTCACAGCTTCCTGCCGCCTGCGGGCATTATCCCAAATAAGCCAGCTGTAGCGTGGGGACGTCAACGCCTGGTCGCACATGGGATCCTCGAGGTCGCCGACAAGTAGGTGCGCCCCACCGCGGCCGTACAGTAGACGACATCGCGACGTACGGTAGACGCTAGTATGCCGGGACATCAAGATGTGCGCTAGGCCCACGCGCCATGAGGAGTCGGCAATCTGGGCAGAACCCGTGTCGATCGTCTGGACCCGGCTAAGCTCCCTTCACAATTGCAAATCTCTGCCCTGTTCGCCTGCCTTTTGGCTTCCTACGAGACAGCGTGGCGCCGACGGTCAAATGTCACATTGCGGTGCAGCCGTTGGGAAATGAGGACTCGACACGCCTGCGTTGTCAGATTGCCTTGGTGTTTCAGCGATGCGAGGCATCTCAAGCTTAACGCTCGCAAGTGCGGGCGGAGAACCGAAGCGAGCGACGGTCAAGAAGCTGCTTCGAGAAGCTGCAAGAGTGACGTCCTCTCAGACAGCCACAATGTTGTTTTAGAAAGCCACAAATTTCATAATTGTACGCGATCGACGCTGCATGCATAATGCCAGCGAGCAGATGAACGCCAATAGTCCAATCAGCGGCCGTCAGCGTCCTGATGGGCGGTCAGGATGCGCGCGCCCGCCCTCCGTCGTCACTATGCGTAC